TTTGAGAGAATAGATGTCCCAATAAATCCATCATATTTTGAAAATGTGGTAAATGGAAAATGCAATTAATATACACAACCCACTGAACATTATAGATTAGCTTGGCCTAACTTCAAAGAACTCAGATTTTTTACATTAGTCTACAGTTAGGAAAAATCATCCAACATGAAGCTTATTTTATAATAAAGTAGTATCTCATGTAACTTTTTTGAATACTGTTCTGAAAGTGAAACCAAAACGGTTATAGGGGTACACTTTTACACCATCGTAAAGTTAAAAAACTGTCAACTGAACAATTGAACTTCAGTTACATTATGCAGTTATAGAAAGGAATTCTGAAGTCAGCGCTGTGGCGTAGTGGATAAAGCCACCGCCTGCAGTGCCATCATCCCATTGTGGACTCTGCTTCAAGTCCCAGCTGCTCCACTTCTGATCCAGCTCTCTGCTATGGCCTGGGAAAGCAGTAAAAGATGGCCCAAGTTCTTGGGCCCCTGCACCCACGTGGAAGACCCAGAAGAAACTCCTGGCTCCAGATCAGTGCAGCTCTGGCCATTGTTGCCAACTGGGGAGTGAACCCCAGTGGAAGGGGATGGAAGACCTCTCTCTCTCTCTCTGCCTCTTCTTCTCTATCTGTGTAACTGTGACTTTAAAGTAAATAAATAAATCTTAAAAAAAAAAAAAGGAATTCTGCCATTCAGATACCTATAAAAATATTTAACATTTGTATCTGTGGGGAGCAACTGGGAGCAACTCGGACTAGACTAAGTTACTGGAATTAAGACTTATTCTATGCATCTGCTCTCCCACAATATGGCGCTGGGAGAGAAGAAAACAGCTTCTACACAGCTGCCTCCAGTTCAACCAATAAGCAGCAGGACCTGCTCCTGATTGGAGGAGAGCAGCGTACTCGGCGTTGTGGGTAGCAGAGTTGGGATTGGTGGAAGAGGACTATAAAGGAGGAGAGAGACAACATGCACCAGGAACATCTAAGAGAAACATCTATCTGAAGGAACACCTGTGCAGCCCCCGAGAGAGCCGGCCGGCAGTGTGCCGCTCCCCCGCGGAAGTGGGGAATGTGGCAGGGGGAACCGCCCTTCCATGGAGGTGGAAGGGTCGGTAGCCAACCCGGGAAGAACCAGCAGCAAACCCGGGAAGGGCCGAGCAGACGAAAGAACAACGCAGGGTTCAGTGTCACTCCTCCACGAAGAGGGGGAGCGACATAATGGTGCCGTGACTCGGATATGAAGCCTAGGCAGGGTTTAGTGTCGTTCCTCCACGAAGAGGGGGAGCGATAGTATCATTTTGCTCATCACAAGGAATTTCCACATCTTGCTGATCATTTAATCCAACTTCCGTTATAGCCCTGTGATGGTGTTATTCATGGTTTATGGATGAGGAAAACTATGATTACCTAGGGAAAACTAATTTGTCCACCACGTTCTCACTGCTGAGGGTGGCAGAGGAGCTGATCTTAAGTCATATTAACCATTCCTCGAATCATGGAAACCTCCTTTTATATTCAATTCCTTGGCCAGGAATCTCCTCATACATTATTAAAGAAATCTGTGGCTAGCTGGGTGAGAAATTCATCGTCACTGCTGGAAAAATAAAGGTTGAGGATGAAAGAAATAGAGGCTGGATAGATGGGAGTCAGACACACGGTACTGTTTCAGACTCAGTGGCGTATTTGGATACAAAAATCTAAATTTTTTTCTAACTTCAGTTTCATTTTGGTTTTGATGGAATCTTTTAGTTTATGCCAACTAGTGGGAAATATTCATTCCTAAAGCTCCATTTCTCTTTTTTCATGGAATATTTAGCTTTTCTGTTGCTCTATCCGGAAATAGAAGATTGTTATTCCTCACTACTGGTTTAAGTGATACGTATTGGTTATATTGTTGTGTAACAAATATTTTGATATGTAAAAGCTTAGTATAAGTAAGAAAAAAATTCTTAAAGCAGAGAAAGGTCTTATAAAAACAAAACTGTCCACAATGCATAGTGGAAAGCTTATTGGTTTAAGAACTGTAAACATGGAAAGTGTTTACAGACCTGACCATAAAATGATGCAAGACAAGTCTTTGTTCCTGTAATAAACTTGAGTCAAAAGAGCAAACAAAGACACCTCCCAAGGTTACTCAACTCCATGTTCCTGGAGAAGGCTTTTATGTGTGAAGGGAGAAGTTTCTGCAATTGAATGTCTTGACTGACACTTTATTCCAACCATCTTGGTTTTTCCAGATTAGTTCTGAACAAGTTTTTGAGCAGTATTAGAAAATCTAAGAGGTTTGTGACAAAATCTGATGTGGTACATTTTAAAGTACAGCAACTATAACATCTGTGAAGTAAGTTAAATTGACATGGCAATTGATTCCTGGGATTTAGAACTAAAAGAAATCTGAGAATGTGTTTTAAGGATATTCTTTGCCAAAGATCAGGAAAGAGTCCCTTTCCTTGCTGGGCTCCCAAACAATTGATAAATTCCTTTTATAAGGCACTAAAAAGTTTGGAAGTTGGCAAAGCAAACATTGATCAAAGAGAGTTTTTCAAGTTGCTTTAGTGTCAAGGTAATTTTATGTAAAAGTTAGACACTATCTCTTGGTTTTTCAGTGTTTTACTAGTGATATTTCTGTACACTATCCATGTTTCAGAGGAATAAAGAACTGTTGTAGTTCCCTTTCGATCTGGGCCCTGAAGGACAGCTCCCACACAGAAGGGTGGCAAGAAGGGCCATTCTGCCATCAAAGTGATGACCAGAGAGTACACCATTAACATTCACGAGCGCATTTGTGGAGTAGGTTTCAGGAAGTGTGTCCCCTGGGCAATCAAAGAGATCAGGAAGTTTACCATGAAGGAAATGGGGACACCACGTGTGCACACTGATACAAGGCTCAACAAAGCTGCCTGGGCCAAAGGAATAAGGATCGTGCCTTACCACATCCACAAGAGATTGTCCAGAAAGCTTAATGATGACGAAGAGTCACCAAACTAGCTCTATTCTTTGGTTGCCTGTGCACCTGTCACCACTTTCAAAAATCTACAGTCAACGTGCATGAGAACTAACTGTTCATTAAAGTTATAAAACTGCTTAAAAGAAAAAAGAAACACCTGTAGACCTAAACCTCCCAATCCCACTCAATCATTAATCTAAATATGCATGTATCAAAATTTCGTTTACACCTTAGGCATAATTCTTAAGATTTTAAGAAAACATAGCAGTTGTGTATCCTGTCTGCTCACTGCATCTCTCCTCATGAAGTGACCTGCTTCCCTCTTTCATATCCAAAATAATTTATAAAGATACCTGATTGTAATTAGAATAAAAATAATCAGATTTAAGGCACTGAGAGATGGGTTCCTTCTACTCTCAAATAAAAATGTTACAAATAAGCAAGCACAACAACATTTTCAGAAAAAAAAATCAAGTTCATATCTACAAAACACCTCAATCATTCTTTCTCTTTTTGTGTATACAGTCTGTCTTCTTATATAGCTCATGGGATTATTTTTTGGTACCAAATGGCCCAAGCTTTGCAAAACCATTCCTTTTGATGTTGTTTGTCAGAGACAACCTTCTTTTCGAATAAAGGATGACAAATAGTCCAGAACATACTCACCTGCAAGTCTGGGTTGTTCAAAGCTCAATCTGCTACAGCTGGATGCTGGAATTACCTTCACAGTATTCTCCACTAATATTTGATTAGTGATCCTTTGCCTGAACTCTTGAAGTTAGTGGGCCAGGGAGAGAGGAATGTGCTTTACTTTTTAAAGTGCCTGTTCACATTCTTAGAGCAGTCTCTTTACATTGAAATATTAATTCCTCTACTAGAACAGTTCTCCAGTTGTTTTAGCTTTGTTTTCGGAGTCAGCCATGAAACACCTTTCTTCCTTTGCACTTGCATTTTTTTTGTAAAGTTCTACAACCTCAGGAAGTGGTGTCAACACTAAAAATGTCTCCCACATCAATTACTAGAATCATATTAACATTAAATGAAATTACTTCTGCAACTGCAGAGGTTAAAATGAAAATGAAGCTCTAAGCTTGAAGCGAATCCATTTATACACACACTCACACATACACACACGAACACACTTCCCTGATGTCTATCATGGTCTGTGGTCTGATTTTGGCTTCCAAATTTTTACACTGCAGGAGAAGCTTGACCTTGAAGATATTTATCTTTCTTACCTTAATACCTCATATAAAACCTTGGATTATGTGTGAGGCTTCTCACTTATTGCAGCTCTTCTCAGTACTGTGATTTTTTTTAATTAAAACTTTCCAATTGGCAGTTCAAGAATTTTGAGATAACAAGATACTAAGAGTATTGCAAATGAACCATGGAAACAGTTAAAATTTATTTAATCTACCACTGTTTCACTCTTCACGGGTTCTCATTGTGAATTAAAAAGAAAAAAAACCAATCATGTGCAATTGTTTTCTATTTCACGGAAGTTTGGATATTAACTATAGGGATTCAGGGGCAACTTTTTAATAACTTTTTTCCTTATTTAAAAAATCTTTCCATATTTAAAAGCAAATATCCAGAACTTCTGAACTCTGTTTTCATATGAAAGGTCTTAACAAGTTCACGGAAAACACATATTATGAAAAAACTGCATGGATTTAAATTTTTCCCCCCTCACCAAAATAAACTTTTCTCATAATTCAATTTTCCTGCGAGTGTCTTGAAGTGCCTTTGTGCATTCTACCTCCAGGCTGAAGACCAGCTTCATAGCCTAAAATATTAACCTTGGGATATGGCGTTTCAGGAAGCCGTAGTAGCTGAGTAGCCTTTTACCCACTTGTTGGAAAGAGTTCATTCTCACTTTTCCTTTTTGCTCAGTTTTGTCACATTCTGATCTTAGGGTGAGCTAACACAGAACACGCCAAGGGACCTTACCCTCTTCCCTTGCCAACAATAATCCTACGGTGGCCTTGTCCGTAATGAAAGAAACGTCAGCAGACGCTCTCACCTGCCCGTGTTTTCATTTAACAGAAAAGATGACGCCACAGGCCGAGGGTCCTGCAGCTGAGCCCTCCTCGCCGGAGGAAGAGCACCAGGTGAGGAGGATGATGGCGAAGCGGGCGAAGATCATCAAGGAGCTGATCCAGACGGAGAAGGACTATCTCAACGACCTAGAGCTGTGCCTTAGGGAGGTGGTGCAGCCCCTGAGAAATAAGCAGGTAAATGCAAGTGGAGCTTTTCAGTTTTTCAAAGTTTTTCTCCTACATCCTAAAAAAAGCTCACTAGCATGATGAAATTGAAGCAGCGAGTGTATCAGGGAAGCGATGTGCCTTGCTTCCAGGGTCTCCAGGCTTGCGTTCACACAGGGGTCATTAGCCTTAAACTTCTGTGTCAGCAGGCACAAGGGAACTATGTTCTAAAATAAGAGATAAAGGAAACTCTGAGCTTCTGCTACTTTGGAATTTCTCATGCATTCTTCCTTGGACGCCCATGGAATTGATAACAAAATTTAAGCAACAGGCTTTCCTCAGGCCAGGAACAAGGTATTTAGTTGAATTTGATGGTGATTATGGATGTAGAAGAGAAAGACATGTGGGCTCCATGGGCCCCTACCTTGAGAGCACAATTCAACTCAAAACTATTTAGCTAAGTAAAGTTCAACCTCGAAATTAAGTTGAAAGTAAGTAAAAAAGTAGTAGGTGGGCCTGAGTCAACACTTGAAGTGTTTGTAATTAACCGTTGTCATGGAGGCCTTTTCAGAGAATTTGTTGTAGGGAATGAGAATAAAGGTTCAAGGAGGTTCGCTGGGTACACACACATGTCCTAGGTTATTTCATTCATTTGGCATACATTCCTGATACCTGATGTTTGCAGCACTGGGGTTACAGTTTAGTACAAAACAAAGTCCTACCCTTGCGGGGTTCGCTTCCTAGGGCAGAATGGGAGGAGTCAAAGGATAAATAAATGTGAATACATTAGGTGGCATTAAGTACAGCTGAGGGGGATAAAGCAGGGAAAAGAGAAGGATGGTGTAGAGGACTGTTAGATTGGAAACTGAAGACTTTTCTTGTGGGGGAGCAGAGAACTGAAAGAGATATGAACTGTTGTGGGCAGAGCAGAGAGCAAGAGTATAGACTCCAAGGAGTGAGAATCTAGTCCAAGGTTGTAATATAGAGACACACAAACTAGAAGGTAAAAATGATCAGAAATTCCACTACTCAAAGAAAATCACCAACATGATTAGGAATATCCCCTCAGACATCGACTTGGACATTAACGTATCTACACACATAAAAACACATATTTAAAAATTTTCATTTGTTTGAAAGGCACAGATTGGAGGGGCAGGGGGCAGAGAGAGAGAATGCACCCACACGCACAACAGAGACAGAGAGCATCTTACGCCCTGGTTCACCACCCAAAGCCCACAACAGGAGGGCAAGGCCAAAGACAGGAGCCTGGAACCTCACCCAGGTCTCCACGTGCTTGAGCCATTGGCTGCTGCCTGCAGGGTGCATATTAACAGGGAAAACTGGAGTGGGGAGTGAGCCAAGACTCTAACTCAGGCACTTCCATTGGGATTCAGGGGTTCCAAGCAGTATCTTAACTGCTATTCTAAATGCCCACCCCCAAAACACATTTTTTTACATAAATATGATCATGATTTCTAATACTTTAAAATGTTTTTCCACTGTTACTGATGCTGAGATGTACTAATCTTTTGGGTGTTTGTCCTCTTATCTCCTTTGAATAATCCCTAGAAGTGGAATTGTTAGATCAAAGGGTATGCATATTTAAAATTTTGATAAAAATTTCCAACAGCCAAACAAAGTTGATACTGTTCTAGTTTTCATTTCCATTAAGAATGATTTCCATTAAGAATGAGAGGGCATTTTTCTGTGTATCCTCTTTAATGGTAAAGATTGTTGATTTTAAAAAGTTCCTTTGATTCCCTCTGACAAATATTCTCTCAAATATTCATTAGCCTTTTCTGTTCTTTCCAATTCCTATTCATGTCTGTGTCTTTTGTCCTTTAAAAAATGCTTGTTTATCTGTTGTTATAAGAACTTTTTTACATCAGGGATTTTTTTTTCCAAACCAACATGTTGCCAATGACTTTCCCAACTTGTCTTTGGCCTTCTAGCCTTGTTTGAGATGTGTGTTTATTTTGTTTTTGCTATTTTTAAGTAGTCAAATACATCCAACTTTGATTCTGGGTTTAGTATCTTAACATATGGCTCACAATTATAAAAATATTGGTAGCCAGTCATCAGAACACCAGCTAAGGCCAACCAGGGTAAAGTTTTGAGGTTTTCTCTCCCCCCACAACCTCCCAACTTCAATATTTTTCAGGGCTTTCAATAATCACACAAATAACCCATACAAGTTCATTGACTTGCTCATATGCAGTTGCAGTTGCATTTCCTCACCCCTGTCTTTGCCACTTACCCTGTGTCATACCTGGAACTTGTCAGCACCAGTAATTTCACCCTCACAAAATCATAATTTCCAGCCTTCTGCTTGATGGCCCTGATGCATTTTTTTTTTTTTGACAGGCAGAGTGGACAGTGAGAGAGACAGACAGACAGAAAGGTCTTCCCTTGCCATTGGTTCACCCTCCAATGGCCGCTGCGGCGGCGCACTGCAGCCGGCGCACCGCGCTGATCCGATGGCAGGAGCCAGGTACTTCTCCTGGTCTCCCATGGGGTGCAGGGCCCAAGTACTTGGGCCATCCTCCACTGCCTTCCCTGGCCACAGCAGAGAGCTGGCCTGGAAGAGGGGCAACCGGGACAAGAACCTGGTGTGCCGGCGCTGCAAGGCAGAGGATTAACCTAGTGAGCCACGGCGCCTGATGCACTCTTTCACCACACTTCACTCGTACTCTGTCCCTGACAACGCTTTGATAGCACCTGGACGGTCAAGCTATAGACCTTACCATCCTGTTAGCATTTATCAGGGCCACACCTGGCTCAGTTTCATGTGTCTTTTGTTATAATCTCTCTTTGCATATGAACTGAAGTCTCTTTTTCTTTCCATTTACTACCCTAAGAAGCAAAAACCCATCCTCTTCTGAAATTCCTGATCATTTTCTTTTTATGAGGTCCCCAGTAATGTCTCTGAGTTTCTTTCACCCTTTCTTTTTCCTTTTACCTCAAACACTGCCTCTTCTCTCCTAACTCTTGATTAATGTCCTTTTAAAAAAATAATTCCAACATATCAGAGATGTACATACTCCCAATGCGACATCTACCAACCTGCTTCCATCTCTGCTCATATAACCCAGCTTCTGTTTATTACAAGAATCAAAAGTTCTGATTCTACTGAAACATAGTATCTCCACAAATGCAGTGTCTTCGGCTCCTCTAGCTTACTCAGGGTTTTCACTCCTACTTGTATCTTTTCTCTCTCCTACATAATTAACATTACCCTTTGGCATGGATCCTTCTTGTCACCATCACCTGCTATCTTTTTTTTTTTTTTTAAAGATTTTATTTTATTTGACAGGTAGAGTTACAGACAGTAAGAGGGAAAGACAGAGAGAAAGGTCTTCCTTCCGTTGGTTCACTCTCCAAATGGCCGCAACTGCACCCATCTGAAGCCAGGAGCCAGGTGCTTCTTCCTGGTCTCCCACGTGGGTGCGGGGGCTCAATCCTCTACTGCTCTCCCAGGCCACAGCAGAGAGCTGGATCGGAAGTAGAGCAACCAGGACTAGAACCGGCACCCCCATGGGATGCTGGCGCCACAAGCGGAGGATTAACCCACTGCACCATGGCGCCGGCCCCTCACCTGCTATCTTAAAACAAGCAGGAAAACCCTTTCTTGATCCTAAAGGACTTCTCTTTATCTTTTAAAATTAAATATGTTATTTAATATGCCTAAACATATTTGTGACTAAAATCTATTTCAAAATAAACATAATTTACCAAATCTGTTCCAGTGATGAACTAATAATCACATTAGCCTTCTTATAAAATTGACTAAATAAAAAAGAAAATTACCTCTTTGAAGCCATAGTCCTTATCAAGTGGAAGAAGACATATATTCTGTATGAAAATGTAGCCAGTCATTAAATCATTAGTTTATTTATATTGAAAGGCAGAGAGAGAAAGAGAGATTTCCCATCTGCCGATTCACTCCCCAAATACCTGTATCAACCAGAGTTGAACCAAGCTAAAACCAGTAGCTAAGAACTCAATCTGGGTCTCCCATATGGGTGGGAGGAACCTAAGTATTTGAGCCACCGCCTGCTCCTCCCAGGGTATGCAGAGCGCCGCTGGGACTTGAATTCAGGCTCTCTGATATGTGATGCAGGCATCACAAGCAGCAGCCTAACTGTTGTGCTAACATGAATGCCATTCTGAGTTGTACTCTTGTATGTCTCCTCTAATTTTTGCTTATGTTTTTATTGTTATGCTTTTCCTGTTTTCTGCTTCCTGCTCCTAACTCATAAGCAGTTGCCAGAACTGGAGTCTCAGACCCTAACAAATGAAAGGTTTCTAATATGGTAATGTTTACAGCAGTTTATTTGGCATGCTTAACTTTGCTCTTCAGTGTTTTGAGTTACAGTTCTCACAATTCGAGTTCACATTTCCTATGCTATTCTATTCAGGTCACTCATAGCTTGTTGATTTTTCACATGTGCTATTTATTTCTCTTGATTTAGGTATCTTCCAGAGTTCTTTCTCATTGTGGAATAGTTTCATTTTAGCTACCTTCTGGTCCTACCCACTGATGTTGTAATAGCGACTCCTTAAAGGACTTTCAGAATTTTCATGACAAATCTTCCTTGTTCCCACTGCTAAAGGCTTTTAACCTTTGAGTAACCAAAAGGCTCAAGAACTTTATGACTTTTATAAATATTTATATGAGTGCTGCGGTAGTTAATTGATCCCCCAGTTCATTAACTTCACCACCTTTTCAATGTTCATTAGCTCCTTCATGTCCTCACCTCCCTCCTAACCACTTAAATACCTCAAGCTCTGCACACAACCCACCTGTCATCAGTTAGTGTCAAAAGATGTGTAAATTAAAACAGTTGCAAGTAATCATGGGAACGACAAATCATGCTAGGCCTAACCTGAGCAAACGTAAGTAACTATTTTCCAGGTACAGTTTAGACTGGAAAAAACGTTGGGAAATCATCTGATCCATCTTTTTCTCTATGCAAAATTGAACTCCATTTTATGTTACTTGAAAATAGGAAAAAGGAAGTTGAAAG